GAAATCTCATATTTATTTTAAACAAAATATATGATAATCCAGAATTAAATAGGAACTTAATATGAGAATAATATAGCCTAATTACTTTTATTAAAGTATACTAAAAATGCTATTCCTTAAATGTAAAATGTACTTCAAGGAATTTGTGCAAATCATTTCTCTTTGTCTTATGATAAAATTTGGCACAAATTATATTTTTATACTTTTATATTTATTTGCTCATAAAAATTTATATATTCCAGTTATTTAGTTTATTATTTAAATTAGGCTACTTTAGTATATTAGATAATTGATATTAATAGTATATATTTATGTACTATGCATAATGTATATTAACATCAAATGTATATTGACATTAAATGCATCAATTACTTTTTTTATGAACTGCACATTAAGATTTTAAATAGAATCATTTGATAAACTTAATTTTCTAGGTACTCACTCTGTATACATGCCAACATGATTTTCACATGGGCATTATGCCTCTAAGTTATATTTGTAATTATGATTTTCAGTCAAAGAAATTTTATAATACTTTTGTTAGAGATACAGAAATACTTAAATCAATGTTGATTCCATAACAATTGCCAAGAAAAAAGTTTTTTTAAATTCAATGTGTAAGAAGCATGTGTAAGTTACATTAACAATTTAATGTGACATTATAAGAAAGATATTTAAAAGTTATAACTTAGTATACACCAAAACACATTACTACCACATTCCTAGCAACCATTTATGGTTAACATTCAGTCTATATTTTCAATTATACCTAAGGGTATTATATCCAGATGTAAATATTGTAAGTAACATTACCCATATTTTCAATTTGATCATAAAATAGAAAAAAGTATTTGTGCTGTCAATATTCAAAACATACCTCTCTGAACTAGATAGCCTTTAATAATAAAAATTTTTATAATAGGAAGCTTTCTTTCAACCTGTAGTAAGTTATAATATTTAGAATAATTTTCCTGCCTCGTTGTTTATATGTGAGCATAAATTAGGTCATATCGAAAATACATCAGCACAAATTCTGAACATTTTTATTAATCTTATTGCATAACTTCCACATTAATGTACTAATTAAAATCAAACAAATTCTAATATTTTGATAATTCCTTGAGAATTTGCAGCTACTACAACATTGGACATTTGTCTCCAACAAACTGCAGAGACAAATTCATTCAAATCTTCTTCTTTTCGATTTTGAATTTCTAATATACTACGCACAGCATCAAACTTATATGAGAATAATTGTTTTGTTAGTCCTTTATAATACACATAAAGTGCATTGTTCTCTGAACCACAAGCTACATAATCACCATCTGTGGCAAGCCCCACAAAGTTTTTTTCATTAACATGTCCAATAAAAGATCTTAGGCAGTGGGGATTATTGATATTCCACATTTTGAGTTGTGAATCAGTACTTGCTGATACAATCTCTTCCTTATTAATAAATTTAACATAAGATACAGCTTTACGATGTCCCTTGAAAATGCGCAAAGCTTCTTTCATATTACGTAAATCGTAGTAATGAACACAATGATCAGCAGATCCAAATGCTAAGTGACACGAACTACAAGGATTAAATTTTACACAACAAACATTAGCTTTCGCTTCTAATGATGCAACAGAATGATCTGTATTCAAAGACCATAATTTAACTCTTGCATCATCTGATCCAGATGCTATAAGTCTAGTATCAACATCATTAAAATCTACAGACCAGCATCTTTTTTCATGCTCTTGAAAAGTTTTAGTTCTATGACCTGTTGCAGCATCCCACACTGTTACAGTTCCTTCATAGTCTGATGAGGCTAACATTCCTTTATGAAAAGAATTCCATGAAACACATGAAATTTTAGAACTAGAAACCATTTCTATACTAGGATAATGAATGTCAACTGTATCATGTATTACAGCTCCATAATCAAATACTTTAATTCGTTTAGTGACACCAGCTATCGCAAAGAATTCATTATCCTTATCAAATTCTATGCTTGAAACAATTGTAGAATTGTTAAAAATATCAGAAGAATAATTTAATGTAGCTAATGGTCGTAATGTATTATATCTGGAAAATTTTACCAGATTTTCCCGAAAAATATCAAGGCCAGAACTTGTACTATGACTTACATCTGTTTGACTTTGAGGTTTATGTCCAAGTAATAGTTCCTTAGCACGTAAATGAAAGTAACATTGTACAAAATCATCAAAATGGCCGTGCATTCTTTTTCTACGAATAGCTAAGGTTGAACTACTTCCATATTCAATTTGTTTTTGATTACCAGACGGGTTTGCGAATGTTTCATTTCCCACTACTCTTTCATTAGGTTTTACCATATTTGAATCAATTATATCTATAAGACCAATCATTTCCCGTCTGATAGCAGATACTTGTGCTGTATCATTTTCACTTGATTTTTTCAAATCTTCTACACGTGGACATTTATTTTGAACATCTCTTAGAATATTTTCAACTTCTTCCATATCTCGTTTAATTAAAGCCATCTCTTTTTGTAACTGATTTCTTTGCTCTTCTTTTTGTTGTAACAAATGTCTTAAAAATTCATGTAGAAGTTTATTTTGTATAGCACATGTTTCAGCTTCAAGTAAATGCTTTCTTTGTGTCAATACTTCTAACATTACATTTACATCAGGCAAAGTTAAATGAGCACTTTCTACAGCAACTATATCTCTTAAACCATCACGCGAAAGTACAGATAATTCTGTTCCTACAACTCTATTTTTTCCATCTCCTACATACGAAGAGCCTAATTCTGAAAGGCCCTTGATTCTCGCTTTATATTTTGTTACTAATTCATTTAATAAAAAATTAGGAAAGATATCCTGCTGACTTAAAGCAAGACTACATTTGGGACATCTGCTATTAGCTTCTAAGGACTTCACAATGCAATGATAACAGAAAGTGTGACCACAACGAGTGATATGTGCTTCATCAATTAATTCGAAACAAATTGGGCATTGATAATCATTATTTCTGTCTTCGAGCGAACTGCCAATTCCAAGTAAAATATTGCTGGAATGGAAGTGATGCTTCGCATTTCTACTAGATTCCCCTATACCTCTACTGCTTCCTGCCCCACTATCACTTCCTAAATTACCATCCCCATTAGACGACATTACTCTTGCATCATTGCTCAGTCTAGTCTTTCCTGAAACAATCAAAATAATGCTATTGAGCTCTAAAAATAAAAATAATTTACTCTATATTGAAAGTTGTATTAAAAAAATACTTTTTATAAAATTTGTCATACAAAAGAAGGAAAGAATTTTTATATCTTAAGAATACAGCTCGAGCAGCATTATAACAATTGTTTCAGGCTGGAAATGTGAAGAATATATGTAAATATATTTATACTAAATATATCAAATATATATAAGTGAAAGATCAGATGCAAGATTATACAATCTGTAGAAAATGGTTTATATTCATTGTTTTCTCATAGTAGAATACTTAGTGTACCTTATAAAACAACATATATTTTCATTTATATATATATAAAAAAGAAAAAACTATAAGAAACAAATTAATGAAGCAGTTTAATGTTAAAAGAAAGCATATATCGTAGAATTAGATAACCATATGTATAAAAAAGGATACGTACATTTTTAAATATACTACAAAGAAAATAAATGAATCAATAAAATAAATTAATTGAATGAATTATTATATTAAAAATAATTGACATATATGTTATTAAAAATATAAGGCACAATAAAAAATTTTAAACTTACAAGCAAATATGTTTTAGTAGTTTCCCCTGAACTCGTTCATTGTATTTAGCTGCTGCAGGAGTTAGTGTAAAACTTTCATCATCTGCCTCGTATACTCCAAGCACCAAACCTTTCTATAGAAAAATAAAACATTACAATTATATAAATACATAAAATCGTTTATGTAATTAAGTTTCATAGCTAAATCAACATAATTATTTGAATTTTGATAAAGATAAGAAATTTTTATGCCACTTAAATATACCTTATTTAAGAGATAAATAATATGCTATTACTTTCTTATTTGTAATATAATTAATTTTATAATTATGCTAATAAATAAAAACGTGTAGATAAAATAAGCATGTTCTGCTTTAACAATCTATGCTTCAATGAACTAGCACGCAAAAAACACTAGCTAGACAATTTCTTAAAATAATTGTAAAACATTTTTTTAACAACAGAAATGACTTTTATAATCACCTTCATTGTTGAATAAGTTTTGAAAAACAGTAACTGCGTCTTTGTGTACCGTAGACCCTTACCCCTGATAAGAGACAACGCCATAATTTGTTCAAGAGAACATTATGAATACGCATTATATATATATGTATATATGTATATATCTATACTGTGATTCTTCTGAGATAAGTTTATCGCGTCTACGTTCGTTGCTCAGTTAATATGAATTAGAATAAGATAACACTTCCGTTTCTGATGCTTTATAGTTCTTTCTCAATTTGCTTAGTTTTTTATAAAAGAAATTTCATTTAGTAATTTTATTGTGAACCAATGAAAAATTACGAAAGATGGAAGAACTTTGTTACTCAGTCGATAATTTCAATGGGTAAAATAGATTCATAGATCTATTGTTTATTCTCGTTAAGAATTTTCTTAATCATCACGTTTCTATAACTATTTTAATTATTTATGTATGGTTAAATTAATATCGGTTTATTAAAATTTCAATTAATTATGATACTAAATTTTTTATGAAAATAAATATGATCTTAGAGAAAATATATTTATTTTATATATTTTTAAGAATATAATTTATTTGGAAATTGATATTTATATGTAAAATGTATGTTTATTTATACTTTATATAATAAAGAAGTTCTTGCCATTAAAGTTACAGATTTGTAATAATTTGCATTGATTCTATATATATTGTAAGATACATGTTGATTATATATTATTAACTACGATAATATTAACTAACTTAATTAATTTAACTTTATATAATTATTCCAGAAGACAAGTTAATTATATTCAGTTTTTTTATTTACATTATTAACTCATTACATCTTTCCATATCTAGAATATTCTTGATAATGTTCTGTTTGGGCTAATAACAGTGAAGGTGGTGGTGCTTGAAGATGTTCTTCACCACCATATCGTTTGATAATACTCTCTCGTGCCTTATCTTTCAATTCATCTCTCTTCTTATCATATTCTTGTTTTAATAATTCTAATTTTGTAGGTTCAGCAAGTAAATGTACATCAACTCCTTTCTCATGTGCTTCCCAAGCAAATAATTGAGCATTTGCATGTTGCTGTGTATCTCCTGAGAAACGTACAAAATTTCCTCCTTTATAATCCACTCTGCAAAAACAAAATATTCATCATGGATAAATAAATATATTATATGTAATAGAAGAAAATTTATATATAAAACATATAATAAACAGTAGGAATATAAAACATACTCTCTATCTGTGCCTGCATAAGGATTATCACGCATAGACCTAGTTTTAGGATCATAATATGCAGATTGGAGATCCAAATTACGCAAATATTTGGCTGTATCTTCTCTAATTCTTAGATTTCGAACAGTAATACGTTGTTTAGAATCAACTTTAGTTCCAGGCATATCAACTTCATCCACATATTTGTCTTCATCTTTGTCTGAATCTTGTTCATCGTTTTCTTCAGCATTGAGTTTCTCTGCGCGCATTTGTCTTTTAGCTTCTTCAATTTTTTGATATTCTTCAACAATAGCTTTATGCTCAGACAAGTCATAACCAGCCCACCTACATAAACAATTAGATTCTTTAATACATAAATAAAATACATTTTAAATTGATAAGCACATAAATCTACACAAATGAAATAGTTTAACTTTCCTACTATGGCAGAATTGACTACCAATATACTGCTGCTGTATAAGACGGTTGAATCATAAGTATAAATTTTACCGTACACTGTAACATTTGATACTTTCTTGTATTAAGCAAATTATTAATTTTTTATTCAAGTTATATGAAATTAAAATAAATCGATTTATAACTGAATATAGGTCAGAAAAGCATTGGTTGGCACCAAAATGTCAAGATATATTATGTTGTTCTAGAGTTTTTAATTCAAACAGAATTTTAACAGGAGACTGCAATCACTTTCAATATACAGCAAGTATTTAATTTTGAGTGACTATAGCAAGGAAAAAGTTAATTATAAAACATGATATTATGTACCTATCTCTTTTTCCATCATAATCAACGCATAGTTCAGGTTGTGCGAATTCATCCGGTGCAATATTTGTATTTGTAAACTTCGCTCCTATTTTACGGGGCCTTTCCATACATTCCTTCTTCTTATGCGTCATAGCACCACAATTTTCACAAGCACCTTTACGATATTTTGTTGCAATTTTAGATGTATCTACACCACGTTTATACCATTCATCTATTCCACTAAAGTATTTTCGTTTCTCAGGTTGAGGTCTTTGATGTTTTAATGTTGGACCCTAAGAACTATTATTGTAGTAATCATATGATATCAAACAATAATGGATAATACAATAACACAGTGGAGTTAAAAAATATTAAATACCTGTGCTCCAAAATACCATGGTGTTGCACTAATATATTGAGGAATATGAGGATTAATATCTTTTCCTTCTTCATCGACAGCTGCAGGTGCTGTACCTGCTTTTCTTGCCTCTTCTAATTCTTTTGCTTTTCTCCAATCTTCTCGGCTCTTTTTCCTTGGTTCATCTTCACAGGCACTTTTGTCTTTTAAGATTTTTGATACAGGTACATTAGCAACAGCGTTGGCCATATTTTAACAATAATATTCACAATTTTTACGATCAAAAGATGTAACACACATACAAATTCGATCTTACTAATTTAACATATATCATGGCTTAAAGAATCAATTAGAGAAAATTGTTTGTGAAGCGACATCTGGCGCTAACAATTTCAACAAAATATGTCGTTAACATTTTTAATTGGTTTGTAATTATCTTTAACTATATAATTACTTTTAATACAATTATTTATTGAACACAAAAATATTGTAGAATTTAATATTAAATTAGATATTTAAATTTGGAAGATTTTATATATTTATGTATAAGCATACATAATTACTGACCGTTGTTATCTTTTTTTTGATATATTTTTTCCTCATATCACATAAAATAGTACTGTAAAATATTGGACAATTACAAAATTTTTCGATAATCATCTCTTAAACATATACCGACGAAAGGTATTTCTGTGGAAAGTGAGGTCGCTGTTGTAGAATAATCCAAAATGTAAAGGTAAGGCCAAGCTATAACGACAATTTATCTTTAATGGCTAATTCTTTCAATGAATTAATCAGAAAACTATTCGATTTGTATTGGTTATGATCTCAACCAATTTTAGCTTGTAAAAAGAACCGTTGCTGCAAAGACGCAGAAAGAATAGCCATATTATACTAATATGTGATTCGAGCTTACTATATCATATTTATTGAAATGCTTTAATTTATGTATATATACATCATACATCTGTTATAAATATATGTTTATATCATGTGTGTACGATAAATTGGATTAAACTTATAACATTTTTATTTTTATTTATACTAATATTTTAATATTCAAGACAGATTGAAGGTCCGACAGATTATTTGTATAAAATAAATTTTTTGTATGTAAGATATTTAATTGCAAAAATAAAACAATGTACGAATAAATCATTTGAATACATTGCATTCGACTAATTATATAGCAATAAAAGAAATTATTTATTCAGATTTACTTATTTATATAACATATTTATAATCCGAAAAATAATTTATTATTGCCGAGTAGATACAATAAATTAATAAAAAATAGGAAAAATAATATGCAGTTATTAATAATTCAACTAAGAAATGTGAAATCAATGTGGACGCTCGCCATTGTGATATGGTTACTGTTAGGCAAAATCGTTAACCTTACACCATATTTGTTTAATCGCGATTGTATTCTGTATCAAATGTATTTGTTATAGGCTCCGGTTTTATTATTTGTAAAAAAATGATTCGTTTATTTACAGAACAGTATCAAAGATAAATATAAATTTCTACATTGTCAAACGTTAATTTTACAGTGGATTGCAATTTTTTGGCGGGAATCTGTTAGCGCGTCATGTTAGAGGGGGAAAGCTTCATAGACGTATAGCGAATCGGAGCGCGATGCATCGCTTCGGTTGGATCAGTCGCATCTCGCTATTCGTGCAGGGAGTTGTATACGAGTCGCTTTCTGTAATACGTATACAAAGCATAGCCTGAAGAAGAAAACGATGCGCTATTATCAAAAAATGAAAAACTGAAAGAGAAGAGTGAAAGAAAAAGAGGGAAGGGTGAAAGAAAGGGAAAAGAGAGAGAGCGGGAATAAGAGGAAGAGAAAAAGAGAAGAGCGTAAAGAGTCAAGCTTCTTGCCGACTTAACGTGAAAGACCGTGTATCTTCAGTGCATAGCGTAGAAACGCACGGTGTCTCTCGTAACCGGCATATCACGACGCGCGCACCGGCAATCGCCTTTGTCTGTCCGCCACACTACGCAAATTCCGAGGTGAGTCCGCTTCGTTCTATGACGTGATCATTAACGGATTATTTGCGCCGCTAAACCTATCCATTTTTGTTATACCTTGATGAAATCGAAAACGATTTTCGTCTATTTTTCGAAAATTTTTGGGCTATTACTTATAAGTATATTAAAATCACTTTTTTGCGATGCGAAAGAAAAAAACGAAGGGTGGGAGTGGAAATAAACGAGGGAGGAAAAAAGAGACAGTAGATGGATGCGAGGTTCTCGACTCTTGCGTGATGCCATGATTTGTCGGCCATGGCGTCCCCAGTAGTAAGGCGAGGCTTACTAGAATGTACTTTGATAGAAACTCTATCGACATTCTCTACCAGCAAAAATTATTTAAAAATCGTTGAATATGTAATGCAAGACATTTTTAGTATCCAAGATAAATTTCAGACAAAATATTGTGACGGATAAATAGTATACATTTATTCAAAGATTTTGAAAATGGCGGGCGCGGAAATTTCAGACAAGATTTTCATGCGAAAGAGATCTATATAAATCTGGAAAAATAACAATATATTACATTCTTGTTTCTTTTTCAAATTCATTTTTTTAAATTATATATTTTTTTTTTGTATTTTGTTATGAATTCAATTTATAATCAAACTAAAATGTTTACTAAAAATCTTTATAAATACTTTACCTTCAATAGCTGAAAGAATTTCGTTCGGAAGTGCACAAAATATCTAATTCGCAACCGAAGATTGATATTTACTTATTTAATTTAAGAATTTATATTTACAACATTACATAATACTGAAAAATTAATAGTATTGTCAGACTTTTGAAAATCAATAAGTGTACTTTCTAAATTTTTATATAATTTCTGATCTTTTTTTTAAATAAGAAAAATGCAATTGCTGATAAAAGCTTTATAAATACTGTATTAAAAAAAAAATATTGAACTCAAATATAGATAGCAATATTTTCTTTAATTAATCTGTATGATTGTGTTTTTATAGTGACAAATATCGCTAAATATGTCAGACGACAATTCACCTGTTGTGGAAGAACAGAAAAAAAAAAGAGGTCGGCCAGCGAAAACAGATAAGAATACTGTTAAAGAACCAAAAAAGAGAGGTAGACCAACTTCAGAAAAATATAATGCAGTACGTGCAACAAAATCTGATAATGAGGATGATGCCCCACCAGGACCTGTTAAAAAGGGTAGAGGTCGACCGAAAGGTTCGCATAAGAAAAAAGTATGTAAACATAAATTGTAATCTTTTGTTTTACGTAAACTCTATAACAATCAAATATTTATTAAAATAACAATTTTAAATTTATAGCAAGGACCTCCAAAAGGCATAGCTCCTTCAGGTCGAGGACGTGGTAGACCAAAAAAAGTAGAAGAGAAACCTGAAAGTACTGGAGAAGAAGAAGATGAACAGGAAGAGGAAGAAGAAGAAGAGGAAAATTGAACAATATGAAATCATCTGTTTTATCTAAAACATTTTTGCTAATTATTCAATCTTTGTGTTAAAATTATTTTTTATATTATTATGAAAATATCAAAAAGTAAATTTAGTGAGAATGATAAATAATTTCCTAAAAAGAAAGATTTTGTATATTGAAAATTATTTGGGATATTATATATTTGCATATTTCACATTTGGAGAAGTGATCGTAAATGTATAAAATATATGAAATAATTTTAGTCCACTAAAATACTTTTTGTATTATGTATTGTTCTTTAATTGCAAGAAAATGTAAGTTCTAATCGCGTCAAGTTTTCATCAAGATATCTATGTTTCATAAATTAATTTAAAATTCCTAGATGCATTTAAAATTTTTGTATTTTATAAGGTATATTATATGGTCTTGCATCACTTTTCCACTACCTCCTCTACTTCTATATCTTATGCTATAATTCTATAACACAAGATGATGTACCATTATAAGAGATAGAACACAAACAAGGGAATATTAGCATTTTTGAAACAAGCATATGTGTGAATGTCAAATTTGTATTAAAGTAAATAAATTCATGAAATACTCTTATTATTTTTATCTTTAAGTCATTTTTACTGACGAAATTTATTAATGATATTTTTAATTCCCTTTCTAATTCAATATTATTGATAAAATATTTTAATAAAGTACTTTGTATGCAGAACAGTATATATTTACAAGTACTTGCAATTACATTATTGTTATTTTATAAAATTTATTTTTAAAACTTGTAACAATATCTTATATATGTCATCTTAAATTCTTTTCTTTATGTTTGGTTTTGAATTAGATTTTTATTTTATGAAATATTTTCTTGCTCTGATTTGCAGGTCCTATTCTTTTCGTTTAAAATATTTCTTGTGAATAGTTGTAGTTATATGAATCGTTTTGCATACATACTATTAATTTTGAAAATTACAAATTATATAATGTAAAAAATTAGTATTTTAATTATAAACATATAACATAAAATTTCAGTAATGATTTGCATGCCCAATAATCGTTAAAATTTTGGATGTATAAAAATTGCTATATGCATATAATTTGTTAAACGAACAGATACAAATTAAGTTTTATAAATATAAATTTGTTATGTTACAGAGAATATATTTATGTAATAATTGTTACATCAGGAAAAATAGGAGAGTGAATTATATATATGGTTACAATGTTATTCGCAATGGATAATAATCACAGTACTTTGTTAATAAGAGTAATTGATAATAACAATCAGTAAATTTCAAAATAATATAAAGCTTTTTTAGACAACGAAAGGCACTAGAGTTAGAGACAATTTTACGTTGTATTTTTACTATGATAAAATAGATAAAAGTTTAAAATACTGTTTTTGTACTTTAATACATTGTTTTCTATAAAAGCTGCATTAGAAGATACAAGAAAAATGTAGTTAATTACAAAAACTATAAATTTTATGAACTGTTATATAATATTTTTGTATATATCTGCATTTCATTTTTTGACATTATTTAATACTGTTATATCAAGCATATTTTAATGAACTATATTCTTAATACATAAAAGATAAATGAAATTTGGTCAAATACTAATTGATATCTTGTCAATGATCACCAAAAAGTTCAGCATTATCATCTATGTCCATGGATTGGTACCCTTGCTGTAAAATTAGTCCTTTTAATATTTAATGTACTTTAATATTCACTCATTGTTATATATATACACACTCGTCTTTGATGATTATTATAACATTCATCCAATAGTTCAGTTTCCCAGTCATCTTCCTCTTCTTCTCCAGGATCAAAATTGTACATTGGCATTAGTCTATGTCTTAAGCGCTCCAACTTTCGTTTTCTTGATATAATAAATACCTTCAAAAAGATTGTAGTTTCCAAATATATATTTTATATTATTTGCGATATATCAATATCACATTGCTACATGAAAAGATTCATAATGATTATAGTTAATGATAAAAGTATGATATATTCTATGGTATGATTTTTCTCTAATCTATCTATTCATTCTAGAATTATTAATAAATATGTACATATATAAAAAAATGTTATAATTTTTTCCATTTCTACTATATTTAACTTATAAGATAAATCTTCAATTATATATTTCTTTTATAATAAAAATATAATGAATAGGGATGTTACAAAAAATAAATACCAAGATAAGTATGAAACATCATTTAATTCTAACATTACAAAGATCAAAAAAATACGCATGGATAAAATACATATTATTTACATCTATTGTTTAAAGTATATATTCAAAAGAGAGAAATTTGTTAAAAAATGTATATCTGAGAGTGTGTGTCTATATATATAAAATGTATGATATTTAAATATGAAATACATGCTTATTTATAACAAAAGTAATACTTTATAACATACTTATTTCTACTTTTTGATATGCTTACAAAATGCGGTAAAGATCAAACTATATTCCAATGCAATAAAATAAAGAGATGGTATATGTGATAAAAATATGTTAATAATGAATGACATTATGGTCCATACCACAGCAGATAATACAATGACGAAGACCATAACACCAAGTGGTACAAAAATATATTCTATCCCTTCTGGTGGTCCAAATTCATCAGTAGACTGTAAGGTTGTTGTAGAAACATGTACAGTACTCCTTGATATGTTAAATGTTAAAGATTTATCTTCCAATGAATTCACAGTTGTTTTAGGTAAACTCCATAATTGTTGCACATCATTACTTTGCTGTGAAAATTCTGTTTCTGTTTCAGATGTACTATTCAATGTAAAGTCTGTTTCAATGTTTGACAAATCATTTAATGATATTATTTTTAAAAGCGAACTTGTGGTATTTTTTATATTCTCCATAGTACTATGAATTTATTTATGATACACATTACTATTTATTTTTAATAAAACTGTAATTTACAATAAATTAATCCTTTTTTATAGATCTACCAAATTGGATAGTATTAAAAACTTAATGACTATCTTTATTTATTTTGTAATATTTTGGTTTGAAAATACTTTATTGACATTATTAAATATCTATAAATGAATATTATGTACAACGAAAAAAGTTACTTTAATTCATTGTTGTATTTCTATATTATTATCATTGAAATATTGTAAAAAAACAAGTTATATATAAAAAATTTATATAAAAAATTATTTTTCAAGACACACATTGGTTTTTAAAAACTTCATAACACTAAATAAGTTCTATATTTTAGGATAAATTTATACTCAATAAAAAAATATAATTCCTCTGTTTATCTAATCTAATAAAAAAAAAACGAATAAAACACACTAATGTTGCATCATTATGATCAATACATAATGACCTTCAATGTTTTAAAATTTATCACACAACAAAACAGTCTAAGTAGATTTAATGTAAGATTTAAGATCATTCAATGCATTTATTAAAAGTATAATTTTGTATTTATATTCAAATATTATCGTCACGTTTAGTTAAATAACAAACAGATGAATAGTCATTACAAAACTGCTTTGCGTGAATATACGAGACAAACTACTAGCAATTTTACAGATTTCCCTACATAACTAAAAAATGTAATTATATTGGTTGCATAGATTGCATATCACTGATTTAGGATATTTGATTGGTTAAGCATCTAAAGAACTATAAATAATAGCCATATTGATTCAAGAAATAGATTCACACTAAATTTTAGTAATATTTTATTAGTGATATTTTCGTTCTCAGTTTTTGATCTTGTAATTTTTTACATTGATCTATTGGGCACACTGTTTAGTATAGTTCAATTTGCCTTTCCTAAACTACAATATTTAATATATTTATGCATGTTGCGCATCATATCATTTAGATCGATTTGGTTATTCGGTGATGTTCATTGACGGTCTGGTGTTCGTTTCTGATCGTTTTATTATTTTTTACTATTTTCTTCAAACTCATTGATACATTTTTTAAAAAACAATATGTATGCTCTCGAAGATGGTGAGTACAAGAATTTAAAGAATGTAATTTCAATTTTTTATTAATCTCTTATTATTTTTAATAATTATTAACATTGAATAAATGAAAATCCAGAATTTTAATCTACAATAAATTTATATATAATTTTAAATAATTTATACAGATCAGTATGATGATGAAGATGCTGAAGAAATTTCTTCGAAATTATGGCAAGAAGCATGTTGGATTGTTATTAATGCTTATTTCGATGAAAAAGGTCTTGTACGTCAACAACTTGACAGTTTTGATGAATTCATAGAAATGTCCGTTCAGCGAATCGTAGAGGATTCTCCACAAATTGATTTACAAGCAGAAGCTCAGCATACTTCTGGAGAAATAGAGAATCCTGTCAGACATTTATTGAAATTCGAACAAATTTATTTATCCAAACCTACACATTGGGAAAAAGATGGTGCACCATCACCTATGATGCCAAATGAAGCCAGACTTAGAAATTTAACTTATTCAGCACCTTTATATGTTGATATCACTAAAACTATTGAAAAGGATGGTGAAGATCCTATTGGTTTGTAATTATATTTAATAATATCTTTAGATTATACTTCTAACAAATATAACAGAACTAACTGGAAATGGCATTTGCAGAAACACAGCATCAGAAAACATTTATAGGAAAAATTCCAATTATGTTAAGGTCCAAATATTGTCTCCTTGCTGGTTTGTCAGATCGTGATTTAACAGAATTAAATGAATGTCCTTTGGATCCCGGTGGTTATTTTATTATTAATGGATCTGAAAAAGTATTTGAAAATATTTCTCTTTTGAATATATTTATCATTCTAGTTTATTTATTATATTAACATGTTATTTTTGTGTACTTTTTATCAAGGTACTTATAGCACAAGAAAAAATGGCAACAAATACAGTTTATGTGTTTAGTATGAAGGATGGTAAATATGCATATAAAGCTGAGATTAGATCTTGTTTGGAACATAGTTCACGTCCTACCTCTACATTATGGATTAACATGATGGCAAAAAGTGGTGCTGTATGTATTGTAGTAATATAGAATGATATTTTAGATGAAGTAATTATAATGTAATTTGAAATAATAACAATAATTATTTTTTATAGAGTATTAAAAAATCAGCAATTGGGCAACGTATTATAGCTATTATACCGTATATTAAGCAAGAAATTCCTATTATGATAGTTTTCCGTGCACTTGGGTTTGTAGCTGATCGTGATATTCTGGAGCATATTATTTATGACTTCGATGATCCTGAAATGATGGAGATGGTAAAGCCTTCATTAGATGAAGCTTTTGTTATACAAGAACAAAACGTAGCTTTAAATTTTATTGGTACACGAGGTGCTAGACCTGGAGTAACAAAAGAAAAACGTATAAAATATGCTAGAGAAATTCTACAAAAAGAAATGTTACCTCATGTAGGTATCAGTGATTTTTGTGAAACAAAAAAAGCCTATTTCCTTGGTTATATGGTACATAGGTTACTATCAGCATCTTTAGGAAGAAGAGAATTGGATGATCGAGATCATTACGGCAATAAAAGATTAGATTTAGCTGGACCACTATTAGCATTTTTATTTAGAGGTTTATTCAAAAATCTTATGAAAGAAGTACGTCTATATGCACAGAAATTTATAGATCGTGGAAAAGATTTTAATCTTGAACTTGCTATTAAAACAAAAATAATTACCGATGGTCTGAGATATTCACTGGCTACTGGTAATTGGGGAGATCAAAAAAAAGCTCATCAAGCAAGAGCAGGAGTTTCACAAGTATTAAATAGATTAACTTTTGCATCAACTTTATCACATTTAAGAAGAGTAAATTCTCCTATTGGAAGGGATGGAAAACTTGCAAAACCACGTCAGTTGCATAATACACTATGGGGTATGTTATGTCCTGCAGAAACTCCTGAAGGTGCAGCTGTCGGTTTAGTTAAAAACTTGGCATTGATGGCATATATTAGCGTTGGATCTCAACCATCTCCGATATTAGAATTTCTGGAAGAATGGTCTATGGAAAATTTAGAAGAAATAGCACCAAGTGCAATTGCTGATGCAACAAAAATATTTGTCAATGGTTGTTGGGTTGGAATCCACAGAGATCCAGATCAATTAATGGCTACTTTGCGTAAATTAAGAAGACAAATGGACATCATTGTGTCTGAGGTATCAATGATCCGAGATATTAGAGATCGTGAGATAAGAATATATACAGATGCTGGAAGAATCAGTAGGCCTCTGTTGATTGTAGAGGGACAAAACTTATTGTTAAAAAAGAGACACATTGATATGTTAAAGGAAAGAGATTATAACAATGATGGGTATACTTGGAAAAATATACTTTTCTCTTTTATACTTTTTGATAAATTTTATTAATTGTAATCATTTTTTGTAGGTGGCAAGAATTGGTGGGCAGTGGAGTAGTAGAATATATAGATACACTTGAAGAAGAGACTGTCATGATTGCTATGTCACCTGAAGACCTTAGGCAAGAAAAGGAATATGCTTATTGTACAACCTATACACATTGTGAAATACATCCTGCTATGATTCTAGGAGTTTGTGCTTCCATTATTCCATTTCCTGATCACAACCAGAGCCCTAGGAATACTTATCAAGTAAGTTTTATAATTTTATACAATATTTAAATTATATTTTAGATATAAGATATTTATCTTTTTTTATATATTATAGAGTGCTATGGGTAAACAAGCTATGGGAGTTTATATAACAAACTTCCATGTGCGAATGGATACATTAGCTCATGTACTTTATTATCCTCATAAACCATTGGTTACCACCAGATCTATGGAATATCTTAGATTCAGAGAGCTTCCTGCAGGGATTAATAGTATAGTTGCTATTTTATGTTATACTGGATATAATCAAGAAGATAGTGTTATTCTAAATGCTAGTGCAGTTGAGAGAGGTTTCTTTAGATCTGTTTTCTACCGATCTTACAAGGATTCTGAATCTAAAAGAATTGGTGATCAGGAAGAACAGTTTGAAAAACCTACACGACAAACTTGTCAGGGAATGCGCAATGCGATATATGATAAACTAGACGACGATGGAATTATTGCTCCTGGTATTCGTGTATCAGGTGATGATGTTGTGATAGGCAAAACTATTACTCTTCCAGAAACAGATGACGAGGTAAATATTAGAAGTTATTTAATGTAAAATTATTATATTCCACCTGTATTTAATTATATATTATAAATATTTATAGTTGGACAGTACAACTAAACGGTTTACGAAAAGGGATGCATCTACTTTCTTACGTAATAGTGAAACTGGAATTGTAGATCAAGTGATGCTAACATTGAATAGTGAAGGATACAAATTTTGTAAAATCAGAGTTCGTAGCGTACGCATACCGCAAATTGGTGATAAATTTGCTTCGCGTCATGGACAAAAGGGCACTTGTGGTATCCAATACAGACAAGAAGACATGCCATTTTCATGTGAAGGACTTACACCTGATATAATTATTAATCCTCATGCTATTCCATCTCGTATGACTATTGGTCACTTGATCGAATGTATACAAGGAAAAGTTTCAGCAAATAAAGGTATACATTATCATAAAAGATTATAAAAAAAATAAAATATTTTTTTATAGTAACAATATTTCATGTAATTTATATTGTTTTATTGCATTTACATAGGTGAAATTGGTGATGCTACTCCATTTAACGATGCGGTCAATGTACAGAAAATTTCGACGCTTTTACAAGAATATGGATATCAATTAAGAGGCAATGAAGTTATGTATAATGGACATACTGGGCGTAAAATTAATGCTCAAGTTTTCTTAGGTCCAACTTATTATCAACGCTTAAAACACATGGTGGATGATAAAATTCATAGTAGAGCAAGAGGACCTGTACAGATTTTAGTTCGACAACCAATGGAAGGTAGAGCAAGGTTAGTAAATTTAGTTACAAATTTCTATAGCATTATTTTATCAAAGAAATGTTTACCATTTTATAAAAAAAAAAAGTACATAATCACATTGTATTAATTTTATAGAGATGGTGGATTGCGCTTTGGTGAAATGGAACGTGATTGTCAAATTTCACATGGTGCTGCTCAATTTTTGAGAGAGCGTTTATTTGAAGTTTCTGATCCATACAGAATTCATATATGCAATTTTTGTGGATTAATCGCGATAGCGAACTTACGTAATAATACATTCGAATGCAAAGGTTGTAAGAACAAAACACAGATCTCACAAGTTAGATTACCATATGCAGCAAAATTACTTTTCCAAGAATTAATGGCTATGAATATTGCACCAAGATTAATGGTAGCATAAATATATTTAATGCATATATTTTTTTAACTATTTTAGTATTATTTGTTAATATCTAGTTATATAATTACTTTTAAGTTAAATTTAAATACAATAAATACATGGTTGTTATACAAAATTGTATCTAAAATTTGATATTATATTTATCTATGAGAAAGAAAAAAATCTGTATACTGTTATCAACGTATTATGAATAAATAAAAACAAAAAAATCACATAATAACATATCTTCATT